GGTTCAAGCGTGAGCAGATAATTTGTCGATTAACCTGACAACCAGACGCTTCACGTATCCAAGGATCTCTCTCTTTCTCCTCCTCCTCCTCCTCCTCCTCCCCCATCCTCCTCATCCTCCCCCTCTTCTTCCTCCTCGTCGTCTTCATCTTCAGTGTCGTCAGAGGTGCCGTCATTGCCGGCCTGGGACCCCTGCGTCGCCGCCTCCTGCCCCGCTCCTCCCTCTCTGAAATACTGCTGATGTTGCTGTGGAGTCACATGTTGAGCGGACAGCTGACCGACACTCTGATCTCCCATCGAAGTCTTGGCTGCCATTTTATTGTCCACTAACACAGAATAAGGCTTACCGCCAACCTCCCTCTTATAAAGCTTGCCTGTCAGGTCCAGGTCGGGGTTAGGCGAGTGAAAAAACGACTGGGACACCCTGCGCCCTTCCTCCTGTGACATCCCGCCAAGGCCCGGGACAGAAACCTCCTCCTTGAGGCTCTTGCAGGATTTCATGAAGAGGGAGAGGGGATGGAGGGATGGAGCGGATGAAGGCGAGGCGACAGAAGAGAGTAACAGCAATGGTGCCAAGGTAGACTAGCCTACTCTACAAGGAGGGGCAGGGGATCCCGCACCAATCCCCCACCCTCCTTCAACTGAAGAGACAGGAAGGAGGGGATGAGGTGGCCGATAGTCAACCTGATTCAAAAAGAGCGTCCATGCTGTCCAAGGTAGGAAATGCAGTTGGAAAGACATACAATCTGTTCCAAGTTTTGTTCCATACGCTTAAAAATCAGCCTGCGAAATCAAAGGCCCGGCGTCTTTGATACTCAGCATTTGAAGTTAAATTCCTCCCGAGATCGTAGGTGAGGTGGAGGCAGCTGCCGGGCTCAGTTTCTCTGAAGGCGTCTGCCCTGCAGGGTGCCGGTGTCTTCAAACTGCCGAGCGGGTAAAGACGAGCTGAATGTAATGATGTCTGTGTATTGTTTGAAGACCCATTTACAGCATTACCTGTGAAATCAGAGGGAGAGAGAAACATAGACTAGATTAGAAAAGGTGCTCTTCCGCTGTCTCGCGTCGCTACAGAGTCTGAACCGAAACTGAAGCTATATTGTTAAGTTTAACACTGAGCGGCACATTTGCCCACAAATGTTTCAGTGTCGTGTGTAGGAGTCAAAACCACAGTCTTCTTCACAAATGAATGTGAGCTCACTTTCAAAAGCTGAATATTCTGAATATTTCCAGGCCACAACTGAAATACCTCAATCTAAAATATAACGACGCGTCATGATACAGCTCGTCAATTTTAGAGCATTTTATAACAGATATACAACAAGAAACCGTTCGTACGCAATGAGGAATATTATGCTTTAAAAAAAAAAAAGTAAAACAGCAATTTAAAGATGGTCAGAAAACCTTTTTACACGAGCCTTCGAGTACACAAACCATGATTTTTTATTTAATTTAAAGTTATCTGTGCACACCGACTGGATGGCAAAGCACTGATTAAACAAAAGATTATGGTTTTTTTTTAATGTTTATTTTGAAGCAACACACACACACACACACACACACACACAACACACACACACACACACACACACACAACACACACACACCACACCCCATTGACTGTTAGAGTATAGTGTAACCACAGCTCAGGAGCATGTATTGCAAATTTAACCACAGGAAACTGTATTTCAACTTTTCAATGAAGCCTAAGCACTGCACAGTTTTAGGAGCTGAATTAAAAACATCGTGTTTATGCACGTTAAACATTAAAAAAAGGATATTATTAAAACAATTCGGTCCATTTCCTCCGGGACTCCTGGTTTTTATGGCGTTCGTAGTTCTCGACTGTTGCTCGTCGACTGCGCCGGGTGCCCCTGGCTGACGGTGTGTTGACCTCGAACAACCTTACACACAACTTGCCGTAATGAGTGTGCACCAGGGCGGTTTGTTCACTAGAAAACCTCCCTGAGCAAGAAACAAAAAACACATTTCCTTTCTTGGAGATGGCAAACATCCTCTCTTCTGTGTCTTCGGCGCGCTTTTATTTCTATGAACAAGCGACACTTCACCGTCTACAAAGAAAACATGAACGTGCCAAGAGGGACTTTAATATTCAACCATGATTAACATGAAGAGCGCGCAGAGGAGGGGAGCAAACGTGCCACGATGAGTGCAGAGCTGTGCAATTTCAGCCTGATTATTTTGACAACTGCAATTACAATTATTGATCACAAAGAAGGCGGCTTGCTTTTACTAAACTACCTTATTACTGGAGGTTCAATACCAACTCTAATTCAAAGTGAATGGAAATTGCACTTGCTTTAAGTCATCAGTAATAAAATAAGGATTTTACTTTAACAGTTTCCAGCTTTGTTCACTGATCAGTTCTGTGTGTGTGTGTCTCAGTTTAATTAACATATTCGTTGTCAATTAACTCTTATAATCTTGGAAAACCTAAACTGGTTTCACTTCGTCTCACTAGACTGTAATAAAAACCAAGAATGAAGGTCGACGTCTTTTTATTAAAGTCAAACACGCGCGAATTACGTACCTACCAGTTCTGTGAGCTCAAATGAAAGTAAAATTTGACTATCCACACACACACACACACACACACACACACACACCTGTCTTCCTGTGCATGCTGACTCTGATCCTTTCTGAGAATTGGACAGCAGCTCTGAGAGCATTAATACCACAGGGGGAGGGCAAGCTCTGCACCGACGGAGCAACTCCACTCACATGGCAGTCTTAGACACAGAGCCTGATAGATTATCTGCGTCTGGATGACAAGAGGAATATAAACTGCATGAGAAACCGCTGCATGAACCTTTCAAGCACGTTTAACGTAAAGGTTTCACGGGGGACGGGTTATAACAACATCTAAATTTAATTTAAAACTAATCAAAAATGCTAAATTCAGCATTCAAACGAAACGTAGGTGTGCAGAGTGTGGTTATGTAACCCGTAGAGTAAAACTCTTCCGTCCGCTCGTCATTAACAATGATGAGTCATTTCAGAGTTTCAGTCGCAGTGAAATAATTCAGTGCTTTGATGTGGGAATCAAGGAGAGCGCAAAACTTCTCAATATCACCGGTAATTTGTCTACACGCTCACCTCGTCGGATCAGAGGTCAAACCTATCGATGATCACATGTGACGGCCTGTTTTTAAAAGATTTTAAATATGAACTTTTGCACCTTAAACGCATTAAAAAGAGAAAAGTGCATAAATGAGACATCTGACAGCCCGTTAAGTGACTTTAAACACGCTCAGCAAAATCAAAGTTCACCCAACGACAACCCAATTCACGGCTTCCCTCGCTTTTAGAGACGTGACGAGAAACCAAAACTGATTTCATACAGGGGTTCGCCGCAAAGCCAAGTCCCACACCGGATAGATGCTGCTGTGGCTGAACTTCTGGATGACAGGACGGGAGCAGTACACGAGAAGATGAGACCTCTGAAGGAGTCGAAGGGCGTCACGTTCACCTCTTATTACACCGAGCAGTGCTCCTCGAAATCCATCAAGTCTAGACTTTAATGAGCTTTCCCTTTCGCAGCTCGCAGAGGACCGTGAGGGTTCACATTCCTCACTCTGTCCAAACTCATAAGACCTTAACCAGCTCACTGTGTGGTGCACTGCGGGGGTGCTGCTCGCCTCTGTAGGTATTTGGCCTTAAAGCTCATAATCGGGTCATAGAGCGGTGGCCTTCCCAGTGTTTTTAGTCTGGCGTGAATCTGCAATCGTAGAAAAAAAAAGTGGTGTTATCTCAGCAGCAAGCTCTTCCCATTAAGTTGTGTTATTCTTATCACACCAGAGAGACACTGTGAAGGCTGACAGCAGCAGAGTGTATTGATGTTCACCAGTGGGGCTGTTTTAACCTGATAACATGGGAACTCAACGTGGCTCTCTGCTTTAAAATCCGAGAAGAAAATGCTTAAAAACACTAAAACACAACCTTACTAACTGCGACCAGCCAGCTTTTACTACGCCTGGTAAACGAGGTTACAAAGTGCGAAACCCACATCAACATTTTACATCATTTTTGGGAAGTAGGACGAGATTTTTTTTTGTTTTGTTTTTAACGCCGCAGACTTTCTTNNCCCCCCCCCCCCCCCTTTTGAACATGATCTTTTCAGCTAACACGACACACAGGATACACCCTGCACGACGTTAATGAAGGGTTAAAAACATTAACAATAAAAGCAGCATAGTACACAGAACAGTTTACACTCTGCAGGCCTGCACAACTTAGGCTACTTAGCCAGCTAACCCTCCGTCGGTACTAACCTGCACACACATGACGAGCTAACGTGGCTACATTAGCTCAAGGTGCAGCCGATAACATTATTTTAGTGCACAAGAAAACAAACTTATCGCCGTGCACAAGCTTATAAACCCCCACACACAGGCTTGTGTAACGTAAAACAGGCGACTTGTTCCTGTTATTAAAACAAAAAGACAGGCTAAAGACCGCCCAGATTTTCGGAGGCTAGTTAGCTCCAACGCTAGCAGCGACGTCAGATATTTTAGCACATTTTTTATTTATTTTTTTTTTTAAAAACGTTACACTTTAATGTCGACGTTGTACTTTGAAGGGGGAAGTGTGACAGTTACCGGACCCCGCACGGAGCTGGAGGAAAGAGCCGATGTCATGCTCGGCGATCAAACGTATCTCTCGTTTTAAAAAACAAACAAACAAACAAACAAACAAACGAATGACTTCCTAACAAACACAGAGAATAAAATAAAAGAGCTGCGCTGACAAACTGTCACTAAAGTCGGTGCTAGCTGAGCTCACGAACGGTTATCAACGGTTATCAACGGTTCTCAACGGCTGCTCCTCAACGGCTGCTCCTCAGCGGTTGCTTCTCAGCGGTTGCTCCGGCCACCGGTTACCGGCGACCCGCGGCTCCTTCCCCCCGTCCTCCGCCACCTCCAACCGGGCAGCTGCCTCGCCGTGTCACCCCCCCCCGTTAAAGCGGCATAAAGAAACAGAAGTTATAACGCGTTTTTTGCGGTCGGTTTGGGGCTTACCTCCCTCCGTCGAGAGCGATTCGTGCAATCAGAGCTTGCACAGATTCAGGGGGTTTGCACGCGCACTTCTCTCGCTCGCTCGCTCGCTCTCCCCCCTTTTTTCCACGTTTTTTAAAAAAAGGAAAAAAAAAGAAAGAAAGATGCAAAAATTATAACAATGTCCGCGGGGGGAGATGTTCCTGTGTTTGCGCTGTTTTGGTGGCTTGCGGTTGGATACCTGCGCACCGGTGTCTTCAGCCCCCGCTACGTGGCCCGGCCAAGCTCTCTAGCGCGTACCACCGCCGTCCCGCGCTCATCCCAGGCATTCAAGGCCCCCTGTCTGTCTGTCTGTCTGTCTGTCTGCATAGCTGTCTGTCATCATGGAGGGATAAATTCAGGGCAATAACCTACATACATATATGTACATAACAGAAAAAGAACAGTATTAANNTGTCTGTCTGTCTGTCTGCGGCTGCGTGTCTGGGTCTCCCCTCCAAAACCAGACAGGGCACAACGCGCGCACACGCTGAAAGTCCTTGATTGATGAAATAATAATGAGACCCGGAGGAGCGTTTTATCCTCTCAGAGGAAAGATCCTTTAAAGAGTAATGGATTTAAACTATCAGCTCTCTCTCTCTTTATCATTATGATATATTTTCAATTTTTCTGAGTTTGGTGTGTTTTAATATGAAGTTTAATATGAGTTGTTTTTGTCCCAGTAAATTATTTTGTGTATTGTCCCAGGGAAGTGACCATATTTTCCATATTTGAGCAGATATATTTTGCTAATATCTGCGACAATGCACAGGATATTTGATATAAAACAGCATTTAAAATGTAGTGTTAATCTGAACCCAGACTTTTTTTAAAAAGTAATATCATATGTTTATAAAATATTTCAAAGAACCACATCATTAGTTGCAGAGGTTTTAATTTCTTACCAAATAGCCATTACCTATAATATATATTAATATATACTTTTAACTCTTAAAAGAGACCAAACAACAATGACTGACTGCTCCTCTTCTACAGCATTGTTTCAAAAATGGGGATGCAATTATGATGCACCCTCCTGTGGTGACTATAATGATTACGCTCACTAGAAAATAGTGTACATTCACTGCTGAGGCCTTGAACAACGAAGCATGACCACTGGGAGGTAGAAAGACAATTTTATTGTTAAGTTGAGCCATTTCTCAAACACAGGGCTTACACATTTCGCCACGCAAACCAAAGACACAGCCACGACTGTAAAGAATGACGGATCCTCCTCTGCTGTCTGACCGGCACATCCCAGTTGATTGGAAGGTGCCGATATTATTCATGAGGAAATTATTTGCTCGAAAGCAGATAAAGTCCAGACATTAAACCCCTCTGGCAAGTCAGAACACACAAAGAGAATTTAAGTCATATGAATGACTAAGCTCTAGTCAGTTATGCATGTGAATCCAAAGCAGAAACTTTCATTACAGATTTGAATATACGTAGTTACACAATTTGAAACTCTCCGGCACAACAATAGCAGAGCAATGGCATTTCTCATCCTATCTTTTAAAGGAATCAGTTCTCCCTTGATGTTACAATCACTGTTGCTTTCCACACATGCAGTGCTCTGAATCACAATGTAGCAAAGAGAATTTACTGCATTGTCAATTATTTTCAAAACAAAGTACTATATATATTTATAGGTTACCCTCCACTTCCTCACACATTGGTGAACTTCATAATTGTATCCGTTACCGGCCTCTCACTTTTTCTCCCACCATGCTGCTATCAGCAGAGGCCAGTCCAGAGTTGGTTAGAGAAAGAGTGGGAGGAATGTGTGTGAAGTTGGGAGTCCTTTATTGAATCCTCCAACCACCCCTTCTATGGCCCTTCAAACAGCTGATGACAGTAAGAGTGGGGTAGACATGATGTGAGATGTTATCACTGGGGCAGCTGGAGCAATGTGCCCTGTCCCGAGGGCAGATAAGTGACGTTGCGGGAGCGGGAGAGCAGTAAGGCGATGTCCTCTGCTGCCTCCAGCTTACGTAGCTCTACCAGACCATCACCAGCCTCCATTAGGGAGTTGGCGATGAGCAAGGCAGCCTGGGAATCTCCCTCTGCGGAGATGATTGCCGCCTGCTTCTGTTGCTCTGCCTAAAAAAACCAAAAGGTTAAAAAGTAGATTTTGTGAGCTGTCTCAATTCACAACCTTCCACCTTTTCCACACAAAGACTGCACAGGAATTTTCTAAATGCACAAGTAATATAGGGATGTTAAAAATAGTACCTTTTCTACAACAAATCGGGCCCTTTCAGCTTCCTGCTGGGCCACCTGCTTCATCTCAACAGCCTCTGTGAATTCCTTGCCAAAGGTCAAGTGTGTCTGAAAGAGCACAAAACCGTTGTTTCGTCATGTTAACATTCAACAGAAAAAAAGGCCACATTGTTAAAACAAAAAAAACAAAAGACCAGCAGCTTTGTACCAGTGAAACGTCATCCAAGATGAGGCCGAAGGTGTTGGCTCTTTCTGTAAGGTCCTCACTAACTTGCCGAGACACAAGCTCTCTCTGGGTGATGAGCTCACCAGCGTCAAACCGAGCCTGTGGAAAAAGACACGCAGTAGCTTAGGAGTCAATTTATAAACGTACTCCGACTCATAAGAAAACTTTCACCTGTTCATTTGTAATTACTCTTGCTGACTGATACTCACTACTACAGCCTTTAAGACCTCTGTGGTGATGGATGGCAGCACCCTCTCGTCATAGTCTTCACCGATACTGGTGAAGATGCGCGGCAGCTGTCCGGTCACCGGCCGGAAGAGGATACGCAGTGTGATGTTTACATTCTGCAGATCTGTGGGGGCAATGATTCAAATGTAACTTACTGCACATAATAGCCGATAAGTAAAAGATTAAAACCTCCTGTGTACAGTAGGTTGTATTTTTAGGTAACACTTGCATAGTTTGTTGACAAAATGTTAAAATATACAGCATTGTTACATTAGGATGTAAGCTTTGCCAGGTAATTCTTTTCCTTAAAGAAAGAAATATAGCATTTCTTAGAGGCCAGCAGCTCAGAGAACCGATTGAGCCAACTCAAGTTTTAAGAGAGCAGATTGTGTATGAAGAAAAGTGAGGACAGCATTACAGCAGTTCAGTGGATAATGGATGTACCTTTGCTGCCTGTGATGACAGGCACGTTGCGTGGACGGGAGCGGCAATCAAAGATGATAGGTTTCTGAACCCAGGGAATGAGGAAGTGGGTCCCTTCACCAACAACAACATCTTGCACTCCTCTGAACCGGTCAAATATCACAGCCCGGTGCCCCGCATCAACTGTGGCAAGGAAGCAGGAATAGTTCGGATTAAGATTCACTTTATTAATCCCCTATTGGAGAAATTCTTTTTTATTTTTATACACACACAGGCTGAAATGCACACTCATGCATATGCAGTGCAGTTTTATTTTTTATTTTTAAGAGTTAGTCTCTCTGCCGAAAGGTATTTATATGCAGCATTTCTATAGATTATAGCTTCACAACTGTCAAGTGTTTTTCTTTTTAAACCCAAAACCCATACATATGAATTATATGTTGAAGAGCTATGCGATCTAACATGGTGGTTATCCAGTTTATTACAGATATATTTTAGGAAAACACATCCATCTGTTTGATCAATTTAAGCAGTAAGAAACAAATATAAAATGCAAAAACAAACAGAAGCACTGCAAATAAATCATACACGAGTTACAATACAATAATTTCAAAAAGACCCTACATGAATAAACTATAATGAATCAGATTTATTGCCAGGTAGGGTTTTACACATACGAGGAATTTGTCTCGGTGCAACGGTGCTTAAAATATACAATCACACAAGAATAAATAAATGAATGCGCTAGTAATTAGTAATAACTAAACTTAAGCTGCATTGTGGTGGACTTTGAGTATTTCAACATCTGCAATGCATTTCTGCTGCAGTTAAGTGTTAAAAACATCTGTAATGACATAATAATAACTCAATGAGTCAGTCAGTTGTGTGTTTTTAGACTCATTGACAGCTCAGACTCCTTCACTGAGTGCTGCAGTGTTCACATCAGGGACATACACATTGCTTATCAGTAAAGTAAAAAAAACTGGGTGCATTGAAACAACCACCACTATCCTTTAAAGTGATGTTATGATCAGCACTCACCATTGAAGAGTGCAGAGTTCACCACACCTCCACCAATGGCGAGAGCCAGCCCCAACTTCCCAATAGACTCAAACAGCTTGGCCATGACAGCAACCTATTAGCAGTGGAAACAAAAACAAAGCAAGAGGTTAAAACAATGAGTCAGCATTACTCCTGCGCACTGTAAACCGTGTGAGTGTGTGTGAAAGCCTGTTTAAACCCCGTCCATGCAGTAATAGTTGGCCTTGGCCTTGTGCACAGAGATCCCATTAGCATTAGCTCATGAGGTAGCTCAGACAGCTCGGCGAGCCAAGCAGACTAAACAAAGCAGTGTAGAGTTCAGAGTGCACGACAAGTTAATGGACATACATATCCATAAATAAACTGAGATCCATTAAAACCGCAATAAGCGTGTGTCAGGCTCGCCGGGTGTCCGTAACGTTACGCATGTTACCTCCGGTGGTTGCTCGTGTGTCGACACTTTAACGTCATTTAACGACAATAAGAGTTCAAAAACGAGCTCCTTTTGCTGTGTAAGTATCGCTATACGCACGTTTAACCACACAGTGAAGTATTTTCGGCGTCACGAAAGGCTGCAGGTCGTAACTCACCTCAGATGTCTGTGACCTCCACCGGACACGACGTGCAACACATGAACTATCTGCTCAACGGCGCATGCGCAGCGCACGTAGCAGCGTAGCATCTGATTGGAGTTGTTCTTCTTCTGGCTCTTGTTCAAATGGTCGGTGTCCAATGTGCTGATGCATTACTGCCCCCTGTTGTTGTTTTAGAGGCTGGCTGGAGCCTACACTGTATCCCTCAGGGGATTGGAGGATTAATTAATTAATAGCGTGCTTGATTAAATAGATAAATAAACTCTCCAGGCTGTTTTTTCTTTTAAATGGGCTTTTTTTATACCCACCCCTGTATAGACAGTATGCATTACATTATGCCACCCACGTTTCTTCTTGCACAGCTTTCTCTTCTTATCTTTCTTATCTTTATCCTTATTTATATTTTTGAAAGTTACTGTTTATTTTTCTGTGTGGTTTTTGTGTGATTTGAATAATTGTATATGTGTATATTTTATGCACCAGGTCAAATTCCTCATAGGCTTAAAAACCTACTTGGCAATAAACAAATTTCTGATTCTGATTCTGATTCTGCTTCTTTTGAAATCATCACCTCCACTTTCTTCAGTGTGGCATTCAAAGGGAACTCTTTTATCACAAAAAGAGGATGCAAAAGTTTAATATTAGCTTCCCCATGTTGTTTCCCATAAAATATTAGAAAAAAAAGTAATTGCAGTTAAAAACACAATACATATACATATAATGCAAGGCCTGAAGGACAATTACAATACTAGATATTGATAGTAGTTTTTCTATGAAGTAAATGAGTTAGTTATTTGATCTGTTGTTAAATTGGTCAGTCTGTCAGGCTAATCTCAGCCTTTATACAAACATTTTGTATTTATAAGGTCAGGATGGGTTAAATCAGCTATTCTTAGTGGGATTCTTTTGTATTGATATGACTGGGTATGATCAGTAGATCTTCATTACAAAATACTCCATTACAAGTAGAAATCCTGCATTTAAAATTAAGTGCAGAAGTGCTTAAAGTAGGCTAACAAAAGGAAAAAATAACTCCTGTTGCAAATATATTACCCACTTAACTGATACATTATTATTAATACAATCATGTGTACATTTGAAGCTGGTTGAACTAGTTTTAACGACCTTATATACAGTTAGGTAATCAGTGGTTCCCAATTTAGGGGTTGGGCCCTAAAGGAGGAAGGAAGGAGGGAATATCTCTTAGAAATAACAACAACTCAAAGACATCTGAATTTAATGACAAGGGGTCCAAATAAGACACTGCTTTATCTGAAGGGGTCACAGCTACTCGAGTAAATGTACTTTGTATCACCGACAATCTCCCCCGCGGATGTGGGAACCAGTTTGGTGAATAAAGTGTAGACAGATGGGTGATCTATAGAGATACAGTATGTAAATAGACTAGCTGACAGCACTTGGTCGCCCCCTTGCGCGGACATGACAAATGACATAATAATTTGTAGTTTCACTTTCCTTCCATTGCTTGAGAAAGTGTGACGGTCTTTGCAAGATAGCGAGAAACAACCGTGGAAGCTTTGCAAGGTGAGTAATCACTACGAATCTTTAAAGATATCTCAGATATTTGGTGACACACAGTAACAGCGCCGTGCGCAAAACAGGAGATCCGTCGATAGCGCGTTAAGCAGATTGTCAGTTTAGATTTTTCCGATTTCACTTCCTTGACACTCAGCTCTGCAATGTGGCCTTCCTTGTTCGCCCTACACTCTCGTTTTTTGACATCATGTGTCAATAAACACTCAGTATTTCTGCACACATCGTGCAGCATGGCTGGAAATGAGACCGAAATAGTTTAGAATCGAACTTAATTCATGGTGACTTTCCAATCACAAATATCTATTATCTATATCTATGTGTAGAAAGCAACATGTGGTTATTAGAGGGATGTTTATTATTCGCAGAAAACACGATAACAACAAACTGTAGCTGGGGCGGAGGAAGAAGGAGAAGAAGGGGCGTTAACTTGACCATCTGTCACAGTATGCACGGATTATATCTCATTTTATAGTTTTGTATATTACACGAGAGGATTTTAACTAAAAGAAGGTTGGAAACATGTTTTATTTAAAGTGCAGAGCAAAACAATCCAAGTAGCCTAGTAACAGATTTATGATAAGCAAATATCAGTTGTAATAGCTGTGCGATTCTCTTAACCTGTCAGTGTTTTAAAGAACCAGCTGTAGAATAACGGGAGACGCCTTAATTAACTTTAGATGGACAATTATTTGCTCACAATTACCAAAAAACTCTAATTGGTGATGGCACCTGAAATGAAATTTTTGTATTATGTTGATGTAGTGTCCTAGTAACCCCCAATAGAGGGTGTTATATTATCAAATATGTCTCCCTTCCTGTTTGCAAGGGTGGGGCCTTTGAATGGTTGCCTGATACTTTAACATATACAGCTTCATGAAGTGGTGTTGTGTTCTGGGCTTTTTCTCATCACCCTGTTGATGTTGATGCTCACCCTTTTGTGCAGAATCAAGACATTTCCGTGTTGCAGCCACTCTTTTTCTTCCCAGCAGTGATTTTGTTTCTCCCAGCAGATGGCAGAGCTGGGCAGGACTGTGAGGGTGAGCGGTCTGCCCATAGACATAGAGGATAACAGGCTGAAAGACAAGCTATATATCCACTTCCTGAGATCCAGGAATGGAGGAGGGGAAATAGACTCTGTCACTATTGTCAAGGCAACGCCCGTCTCTGCCCTCATCACCTTTGAGGACAGTAGAGGTCAGTAGGGTCAGGATGTGTGCATGTCTGTGCATATGAAGTGTAGGGGAGGGGGATTTCACTGAATACTTAATTGATTTTATTACAGAGACATGTTGCTGTGAAAATACTAATAACTATATTATTCTGTTAACTACATTAACACTGGAGTCTCACAATACAACAATATTGAATAGTAAATATTTAATATTTAAATAATTTTCATTCTAAAGACTCAAAAAGTTAGTTGCAATAATTTGCAATGTATTGCACTGTGTCGGCTGTCACCAGTGATTTACACTGAGCTGGAATGTTGCCATGCAAGTCAGTGGAGTAGCCAATGGTAAAAGAGCTTAGTCAGGATGCTTCACAGACTGAGATTGATTTCCCTCTGGTGAACCCTCTCACACAGTGGCACAGCGAGTTATTCAACAGAGCCGGCACATTCTGGAAGTGGATGGGAAGAACTATAAAGTCATTGTAACTGAGCATCGGGAAAGCCTGGACCCAGACAAGGTATATTCATCTAGAATGTTAGGAAATACTGTATGTCAACAAATGCTGAACATACAGTGAAATCAATAAATGTCTCTCTTTTTCTAACCAATATAGGTCATCCTAAATTTATCAGCAATGATCGACTACAGCCAGCTTCCTGGCGGAGCAATGGCATTGACAAGCGTTCATAAGAGCTACCCTGATATTCAGATAATCTACGATGCTACTGAGAAATTGTATACATTGCATGGCGCCTATTCCAGAGTCCAGGCAGCCTTGGCACAACTGCTTGGCCATCCTGGAGGCACACAATCAGCAGAAAACAAAGACACAAGTCAACCTGCCGCCAGTGGGTCCAAGTCTATTCAGACAGCACCGAAGCCTCATACTCAGGAGTCAGAAAATCAGAGCAGGAAACCTAATAAACAACGAGAACAAAGAGAGAAAGTTCACATTGGTAGGCCTTCTGATGAGTACGACTCAGGCTCACATAGAGACCTGACACCTGGTGGTTATGGCTGGGATGATACTGGGCAGACAGAGGGTGCAGCCAAGCAGCTACCTGTGCATCCTAAGGCATCTGAGGAGGACTTCTTCCTAATTGTGGATGCAGACATGTTCCAGTATTTGCAGAAACACTGCCAAAAGGAGTACCAGCGTATCCTTAGTCAGTATGGTGTTGATGTGGTGGACATGACAAATCACGGGTTGACTACTCTGTTTCTGCAGGCTGCAACAGAAGTGGGGGAGGATGGTCAAGATCAGGAGTGCCTGACGTTGGCAAAAAAGGCAATAAGTAGGCTTTATCAAGAGAATGAAACCAAGATCCGTCGAGCCAAGCTCCCTAAGAGTATCGTGTCCCCCAGGAGTGGACTGCAAAGGGCGATGGAGAACTTAAGTCTCAGATTTCCCAAGCTTCTTCTGAATGAAGATGACCAAAATATTTACATTATCGGGAGCAGTATCGATGTGTCTGAGGCCAAACTGTTTCTCCTGGACCACAATGAAGGGAGGGGAAAAAAAGAAGATGTAGCCAGTCTTCTTAGATTTCCTTCATATGATTCAGGTTCATCAACTCATGCTGATGAGCCTAGAGTCCCCCTCCCCACATCTTCTCCCGTTGATTTTGTGGATATTAGGATAGACCAGCCGTTGAGGTCAAAGGAGGATGAGAGGAGAGCTGATGGAGCCAGAAGGTATAAACTAGCTGCTCGGTTTAAGGATTCTGGCCTGCCTGCATTAGGCAGTCGGCCAACTGACTTCAGCTTACGAGGGCTTTCATCTCCCAGTAGACAAACACGCCGTGGGCCAATGGTAGGGCATGATGTACTGTCAGAAACAGCACAGATTGCTGGTGAAAGAGCCTCCAGAGCATTAGCCCAAAACACTGGAGGGGACATCTTGTTTAAGAGTGAAGATGCTTTGCCTTCAACTGCTTTTATGCAGAATAAAACCTCTTTGAACTCACATTTAACTGACACTCGACCCAAGAGTTTAACATCCCCTGTTAGCACAACTCAGTCCAGCGTGTCAGGAAGTACTCCACTTCCACCTGCTGGGTCTGGATCCACCTTGAAGCGAGCCAGTAGTTTCTCAGGAACACCTCAGGAGAAGGCCCAAGTTATGGGTCAGAAGAGTCAAGATGACTCTGGAAAGTCCACAGTCAGAACCAGGGCCCGGTCCTCTAGCTTCAGTAACCAAACAGGGAGGGACAAGCAGGAAGTCTATAATGCAGAGATTACAGTTTTATTTGTGATGTGGATGCACATAAAAGAAGCCTACAGCACCCGAGTAGATGACTTGACTTCTGATGTCCAGATGAAAGAGAGACGCTCAGAGGGTAGTAGAGATTTGACTATTACC